GTATTGAAGCCCTTTTGGGATGGTACTTTAGAAGTAGCACAACTGCCTAGAATCCCTCAGTGAGGGGCTGGGGGTGTGCCTCAGTGGTAGTGCACCTGCCTAGAATCCACCAGTGAGGAGCTGGGGGTGTGGCTTAGCGGCAGAGGGCTTGCTCTAGGTTCCATCCCCAATACCACACAAAAAAGTATGTATGTGTGTATCCATGCTAGGCAAGGGCTTTGTCACTGAGCCACACCGCCCAGCCCTGTTGCATAGAATTGCAAGTTGTGTTTGCTGCATAGACAGGCCACACACACAGCATTGGCATCATATGTATCCTTGTAGGCCTTTCTGAAAGGAACATTCCCCAAAGTCAAATTGCCAAGGTGGAGAAAGTACCCGTTTCAATGTTTTCTGTGGGTCTTTTTATACCCTCTGGAGAGGGCTGAACGATGCTTCTTTCCAGTGGGGGCCTTAGTGAGGCCGGGCCTGCTCCCTCACTAGGGCAGTGAGTGCATGGAGGATTCTGGGAAAAGGCAAAAATCAAAGGTGGGGGAGGGGAGCGCTGCAGCTTCCTCGGAGCTATTGCTCTTGGGGTATCTTTCTGCCTTCTGCTTTTCTTCTCCCAACCATAAGCTTTGAATTTGCCCAGAGAATTCTGTCCCTGTTAGGGACAGAGCCAGCATGCCCTAGACCTGCAGGTCTGATTTGGGGAGGAATAAAGCCTAATAAGAAAAGAAAAAAAAAAAAATTCACACCATCCTGTCTGTCTGCCTTTGTTAAAATCACAGGGCTAGCTACTCAGAAAGAGAAAGGAGATGCAGACTTCAAAGCCCTCCATAGCCAAGACGTCTCATTCCTTCTCCCAGCTCAGAGACTGTTTCTTTCTCCAGTTACAAATGAGGAAGGCCAGGTGCCAGCTTATTTAAACTAGTTATTGTTGTGTGGTAAGCCAGATTTCACAGTTCAGAAGGGCATCAGATGAGAAAGGCCATGTTCCCACCTTATCATGTGACTCCTCCTCCCCAGAGGTGAACACTGTTCCCCATGTCTCCCAGAAACCTTTTTCTGCAAACAGAAGTACATTTTCTAAATCAAATGTGAACATGTTATCATACACCACACATAGTTTTTCATTCCATCTGTGATGGAAACATGACAGTCATTGGCAGACATGGTGGCACATGCCTGTAACCCTAGCACTTAGGAAGCTAAGGCAGAAGGCTACTGTGTTCCAGGCCACATAGCAAGACCCTGTCTCAAAAAGCCAAGAACAAAGGGGAAAGAAAACAAGGCCTGAAGTACAGCTCATTAGGAGGGTCCTTGCCTAGCATGCATGAAGTCCTGGGTTGGTCTCCATCATCACAAAAAAGTTAACTCATTAAAAATTAAAAATAAGCTGGGTATTATGGTATATACCTTTAATCCCCACACTTGTGGGAGGAGGTAGGAGGAGCTCTGTGAGTTCTAGGCCAGCCTGGTCTACATAACAAGTTCCAGACCAGACAGGGCTACATAAGAAGACCATTTCAAACAAATGAAACAAAATTTTTTTAATTAGGAGGGCTGGAGAGACAACTGAGTGGTTAAGATCCCTGGCTGCTTTTCCAGAGGACCCAGGTTCAGTTATCAGTACCTACATGGCAGCTAACCATCCGCAACTCAAGTTCCAGGGGCTCTGATGCCCTCTTCTGATTTCTGCGGGCATTGCACACATATGGTGCACTTACATACATGCAGGCAAAACACACACACAAATTTTTTATTTACAAAAATTTAAGGCTGAGTTGGTAGAACACTTGCCTGGTATGCACAGAGTCCAAAGCTTGATCTCAGCACCACATAAAACGGATATAATAGTGTATGTCTGTAGTCTCAGAGTTGGAGAGAGGGAAGCAGGAGGTCAAGGCTCTCCTCGGCTACTTAGCATATTTGAGGCCAGCTTGGTCTGCAGGAGACCCCATCCCTAAAGCAAAGAAAAAAAGAAGGAAAGGAAGGAAATAAACATGACAGTCAAGTTCTGTCAGGACACCTGAAGGCTCTGCAGCCCAGTGGCCTTGGTTTGACTCTTAACTCCTCCATCCACAGGCTTTGTGACTTTGGACAAGTGGCTTAAATCCTCCATGCCTTAGCTACCTCATCCATAAAATGAGACATGATAGGAAGGACTTAGCCATGTGTCTGTGGCTAGCATTGAAGGAGTTCTAAGGGAGCCCCACTTTGCTCTTAGGCTGGGTAGACTGGCCAGAGGTGTGGTCAGTTGAAGTCCCTGCAGCTGCTGTGAGGAAAAGTGAATGAGCAGCTTCCAAGCAGGGCCAGTGTTGCATATGCAGAGTCCAGGTTTCCACCAAGGAGGTTGGCCTGAGCCAGAGGCCAGGCCACAGACAGGCAGGAGGCCTGTGAGTCACACCGGCCCTGAGGTCTTTTGGGAAGAAGGCAGAGAGCCTTGAGGGAGCAGGGAGCCACTGGGGCCTCCTGTCAGGAGCCAGCCAGGCGCTTGGCAGCAGATTGCAGGGCAGTACTATGAGGTGTTTTCCCGCTGTGCAAACCAAGGTCAGAGGCCAAGTGGAACTTGTCCAGGGTCACACAGCAGAAGCAAGCAGGGGCAAAATTGAAAGCCAGGCCTATCCTTTCCAGGCCTTCCGTTTTCAACCTCAGGCTGGAGCTCAATAGCCCTAGAAGTAGCCTGAGTGTTCTAGAAGGCTCTGTGGGGTCAGTGCTGTGGGTCAGCATGAGAATGCTGGAAGAGGAGTATTGAGTGTGACCCCATGCCCCAGCTGCCCTCTGAGAAGTGGGAAAGTGGGCAGCTCAGGAAAGCAACCGTGTCAGCAATTGGGCCTCAGGAACTGTGGTCTGGTGGGTCTATTACCCCCTAGACTCCACCTGCTCAGGTGGAGATGACTGGTCCTGGAGTTCGCAGGCCAAAGGTGGGGGTTTTCTAGGATACCTCATTGTTCTTGTCTGGATCACACTCACCTCTCACCTACCCCCACCCTCACCCTGCCACCCACCCATCCTCCTGATACAGGTAGGACCTAACACTGGCCAGCTGCCAGCAGGGACCCCCAGGTCTTCCCAGAAGCAATCTCGAGTCCTGACTGACTCACAAGCCCTGCTTCATCTACCCCTGTCTTCTCCCAGGCCTTCTCAGTTCCTTCCTCATAGCTCCAACGCTTGCTCTTCCTTCCACCTGTGATGTTCTTCTGTGTGGACCCCTCCTTGCTCTCCTCCACCTCCAGGTGCCAACCCCACAGAACAGGCCCCATCCGGTCCTTCTGCCCAGCCTTATTTGCTTCAAAACACATTTCTATTTTACACATGGGGTCCCCTCCTGGAGGTGGCTCTTTGGTCCCTGCCTGCCTCTGGAATAGGCCCAGTCAGAGTGGGTTCCCTACAGATGTTCACAGCGAGTGAGTGATGAGTGAGTGAGTGGTGAGTGAGTGAGTGGTGAGTGAGTGAGAGAGTGGTGAGTGAGTGGTGAGTGAGTGAGAGAGTGAGTGGTGAGTGAGTGAGTGGTGAGTGAGTGAGGGGTGAGGGAGTGGGAGGTGAGTGGTGGGTGAGTGGTGGGGGAGTGAGGGAGTGGTGGGTGAGTGGTGGGGGAGTGAGGGAGTGGTGGGTGAGTGGTGGGGGAGTGAGGGAGTGGTGGGTGAGTGGTGGGGGAGTGAGGGAGTGGTGGGTGAGTGGTGGGGGAGTGAGGGAGTGGTGGGTGAGTGGTGGGGGAGTGAGGGAGTGGTGGGTGAGTGGTGGGGGAGTGAGGGAGTGGTGGGTGAGTGGTGGGGGAGTGAGGGAGTGGTGGGTGAGTGGTGGGGGAGTGAGGGAGTGGTGGGTGAGTGGTGGGGGAGTGAGGGAGTGGTGGGTGAGTGGTGGGGGAGTGAGGGAGTGGTGGGTGAGTGGTGGGGGAGTGAGGGAGTGGTGGGTGAGTGGTGGGGGAGTGAGGGAGTGGTGGGTGAGTGGTGGGGGAGTGAGGGAGTGGTGGGTGAGTGGTGGGGGAGTGAGGGAGTGGTGGGTGAGTGGTGGGGGAGTGAGGGAGTGGTGGGTGAGTGGTGGGGGAGTGAGGGAGTGGTGGGTGAGTGGTGGGGGAGTGAGGGAGTGGTGGGTGAGTGGTGGGGGAGTGAGGGAGTGGTGGGTGAGTGGTGGGGGAGTGAGGGAGTGGTGGGTGAGTGGTGGGGGAGTGAGGGAGTGGTGGGTGAGTGGTGGGGGAGTGAGGGAGTGGTGGGTGAGTGGTGGGGGAGTGAGGGAGTGGTGGGTGAGTGGTGGGGGAGTGAGGGAGTGGTGGGTGAGTGGTGGGGGAGTGAGGGAGTGGTGGGTGAGTGGTGGGGGAGTGAGGGAGTGGTGGGTGAGTGGTGGGGGAGTGAGGGAGTGGTGGGTGAGTGGTGGGGGAGTGAGGGAGTGGTGGGTGAGTGGTGGGGGAGTGAGGGAGTGGTGGGTGAGTGGTGGGGGAGTGAGGGAGTGGTGGGTGAGTGGTGGGGGAGTGAGGGAGTGGTGGGTGAGTGGTGGGGGAGTGAGGGAGTGGTGGGTGAGTGGTGGGGGAGTGAGGGAGTGGTGGGTGAGTGGTGGGGGAGTGAGGGAGTGGTGGGTGAGTGGTGGGGGAGTGAGGGAGTGGTGGGTGAGTGGTGGGGGAGTGAGGGAGTGGTGGGTGAGTGGTGGGGGAGTGAGGGAGTGGTGGGTGAGTGGTGGGGGAGTGAGGGAGTGGTGGGTGAGTGGTGGGGGAGTGAGGGAGTGGTGGGTGAGTGGTGGGGGAGTGAGGGAGTGGTGGGTGAGTGGTGGGGGAGTGAGGGAGTGGTGGGTGAGTGGTGGGGGAGTGAGGGAGTGGTGGGTGAGTGGTGGGGGAGTGAGGGAGTGGTGGGTGAGTGGTGGGGGAGTGGTGGGTGAGTGAGTGGTGGGTGAGTGGTGGGTGAGTGGACAGCGCCAGGTGACGTGAGGGCGGCACAGTCACTTCCTGGTATGACTAGCTTTCTGCAATCCCCCTTGGCTTTGAGAACCAGCCTTCAGGCCCTCTAACTCTAGCACACTCATTCCAGGCAGGTGGACACTAACGCAAAAAACGTCTTTGGTCAACCACGACTGAGGGCGTCGCTGCGAGACCTCCGGTCCCCTCGGAAGAACTACAAGTCGACCATTGAGGACGACCTGAAGAAACTTATCATCATGGACAACCTGGGGCCAGAGCAAGAACGAGACACAGGGGTGCGTGGCTGGTGCCAGGTGGCCCAGGGCTGGATGGGGAAGGGCAGTGCTCTCTGCCATGTCCCCAGCCTTTAACATCTGCTGGTCTTCGGGGGATCTGTACGTGAGGGCCCCTGTTAGTCCATGACAGAAGCAGGACTTAAGCCAGCTGGGGAAGGCCCCAAAGACCAAGAGCAGAGCTGACTCCCAGGGAAAAGTCAGGCTCTTGTTCCCGAGGACAGGGTGAGACCACAGCAGCAGGTACAGCAGTGCCCCATCGTCCCTGCCTGCCCCTCACTGTTGGGAAGACGCTGTCTGAGGCAACCAAAACAGCCCTTTAGTGGGCATTGGGGCACATGCCTGTAGTCTTAGCCCTCAGGAGGCTGAGGCAGGAGGGTCACAAGATCCAGACCACCCTGAGCTACATGACTAGAATGTATCTGAAAAGAAAAAGAAAAATAACTAGGGACATAGCTTAGTGGTAGAATGCCTGTATAAGATCTGGAGTTCAAGCCAGATGTGGTGGCGCACGCCTTTAATCCCAGCACTTGGGAGGGGGAAGCAAATGGATCTCTGAGTTCAAGGCCAACCTGGTCTACATAGTGAGTTCCAGGACAGCTGGGACTACAGGGAGACCCTGTCTGAAAAAGACCAAAAAATAAAATAAAATAAAAGCCCGAGTTCAATCCTTTAAAAAAAATGGGCGGGGGAGGGGAGAAGCCCTCAGTCTCCAGGTTCTTACAGGGTGTGTTGGTGTCCGTGGTGCCCTTGGGAGCCTTAACCTGGTTCTGGTCCATTGTGGCTCATGCCACCCTCCCTAACCAGTCAGGCCAAGATTTCAAGCCCTTTCCTGGAGCTGGAGGCTAGGATCAGAAGCTATGGTCACAGGTCAAGGAGAGGGAGTTCCCAGAAAAACCAAGTACTTTGATCAGCAAGGGTGAAAAATGGATGCTAGGTAGGTAAGACACCCCCAAAGACTGGGGCCACAAGCCCAGCATGACACTCCCTTGCCCCACCCCCATCTTGGCAGCAGTCCCCCCAGAAGAGCCTGCAGCGAACACTTTCGGACGAGAGCTTGTGCAGTGGGCGCCGGGAACCCAGCTTTGCCAACCCTGCCAGCCTGGAGCCAGGCCTGCCCAGTGACGTGCTCTTCACCAGCACCTGTACCTTCCCCTCCAGCACACTGCCCGCCCGCCGCCAGCACCAGCACCCCCACCAACCCGGCGGGGCACCCAGCACCATCCCAGCCACAGGCAACAGCTTCCCGGAGAAGAAATGTGAGCCTGGGCAGCCTAGGGCTGCAGGTCACCCAGAGCTGGGAAGTTGGGGGGCACTGCTCATGGGAGGTACCTGGTGGTCATGAGGGAGGAAAGGGTGCCCCCGAAAGGCAGGTGCCTACATCAGCAGCTCCCCAGCTCCTACTACCACCACCACCACCCCACCTCCCTGCTCCCACCTAAGCAGCCGCTTTCTGAATGTTTACTTAACAACCTGACTTCCCCCAATGCCCCATGCTTGGGGGTTTGGACTGAGTAAGACTTACCTACCCAGTCACCTAGCAAATGTTTATTGCATCTGCCTGAGTGCAGGGATTAAAAAGTTCACTAGAAAGCTGGGCGTGGTGGTCCATGCCTTTAATCCCAGCACTCGGGAGGCAGAGGGCAGACAGATCTCTGTGAGTTCAAGGCCAGCCTGGTCTACATAGTGAGTTCCAGGACAGCTGGGGCTACAGGGAGACTCTGTCTCAAAAAGACCAAAAAAAAAAAAAAAAAGTTTACTACCATGCCCAGCCCTGTTGGATTGAGACAAGAAGAGTCCAGGCTGGCCTCAAACTTCAAGCAGGAGCCATCACTCCTGACTACATATTGCCCCTGGGAGGAGAGGCAGGCAGCTTCATTGCAGCATGCTGATGGGATAGATTAGGGGTGCTGCTTGGCCTTTGGAGGTGTTGAAAAATGTATGGCACACCTCATTTTCTTTTTTTAATATTATTTTTATTTTATGTGTGTGAGAGTATTGGCTGCATGTAAATTCACCCATGTGGTACAATGCCCACAGAGGACAGAAGAGGGCATTGAATCCCCTGTAACTTCAGTTACAGTTATTAGCCACCATGTGGGTGCTGGGAATCAAAACTGGGCCCTCTGCAAGAGCAGCCAGTGCTCTTAACCCCTGAGCCATCTCTCCATCCCCAGCACACCATATTTTCTAAGATCCAGGCCATCTTGAATTCAGTGATGTTTCATGCAAAAGATCTCACCTAAGGGGTCATGGCCCCATATCTCTTGCACATTGTGGGGAATAGGATAAAGGAGATACCAGGGCGCTTTTAGGGGGTCTATCTTATCTCTTAAAATCCCATAGTAAAGGTATAGGGGCACATGCCTATGGGCCTAGCGCTTAGGAGATAAAGGCAGGAAGATCAGGAGTTCAAGGCCAGCCTCAGCTGTATAGTGAGTTCCAGGCTAGCTTGATATACAAGAGATCTTGTCTCAAAAAAACCAAAAATTGTAAATCCTCCCATGGTACCCCCCTACCCTCCCCCCTCTGGTGTTTTGAGGCTTTAGCCCCAGAGACCACCCTCAGGGCACTCCACGAACTGCTGAGCTCTTTCCAGCCCTCTTCCTGGTAACTCAACCTCTTCCTTTAGGCCTGACTCAGCCACTGCTCCTTCCTGTAGCCCTCCCCCAAGGCTGGCATACAAGCCAGGCCTCCTCATCCTTCCTAAATCCACTCTGGTCTCCTGCCTCTGCCCTCAGCCTTGATTCCCTACCTGTGCCTGGGTGGGGTCTGGTGCACAGGACATTGAGGAGAAGCTGAGTGTAGCCTGTGCAGGGCCCACACTCCACAGGAGGATCTGAGCTCCTCCCTCCAGCTCTACCACACATTCCATCTGGACAGACACCTTGTTCCCTGGAAAACTTCCTCCTCTTGGCCTGTCAAGCCCAGGGGAGGGTTCTCCTGTACCACCCATGCCTGATCACTCTGCCTTGTTCCCTGATTACAGCCCTGTCCACTCTGGGTTATCTCCCCTAAGGACAGGGCCTGGGTGACCTCTAGCTCAGGCTTCTGCCTTGCAGACACATGCATCTCAAAACACCAGAGGTGATGGCTGTTGGCTGGGAAGTAAATATGGAAGTTACAGAGTCTTTGGGCCTATAAGTCCAGGCAGGATCTGTCACGGGAATGTGAGGATGTCCTCCTGTCCTATAGCACTGCTGTGGAGACCCAAGTCCTCATGGTGACCACCAGGCTTGTCACTTCTCTGACTTCACCTCCCTCTGCTCTCTTCTGAGATACCTGGTCCTCCTCAGTGTTCCTTAAGCTTCAGGGGTTTCACTCTGGCTGTTACATCTATCTGGAATGCTTGTCTCAGAGGCCCCAGCAAAGCCTCCCTTAACACTACAGAAAACAGCACCCAGCATCGTGGTGCGCTTGCCCTGTAGGAGCTTCTGGTCACTTCGCTTCTGTGAACGGTGTAGAATATCTGCATCTCTGTGCCTTCCATGCTGTCATGCTCAACCATCTCCCTGTCCCCACTCTCCTACCTAGCTGCCATCTCAGCTTCGGAACTCTCACTGGCTGACGGACGGGACCGGTCTCTGCGGCGCCTGGACCCTGGGATGATGCCACTGCCGGACACAGCTGCTGGCCTGGAGTGGTCCAGCCTGGTGAACGCTGCCAAGGCATACGAAGGTAGGTAGCCTCTATACAACCGTACCCGAGCCTCAGTGATTCCATTCTAGAAGGATCACTGGAGGCCCTATGGCTTTGCTGGGCCAGAGTTAAAGACCTGTCCCTGTTATTTGCAAACTGCAACCCAAACAGATACCGTTCTCTGATGCTCCCACTGCCTGGTCTTCCAGAGGAGGAGTAACCTCACCAACTGCCTGGGGCTGCAGTAACAGCTGTATGAAGGGCTGCCTGTGAAACCTTGCATATTGCAAGCCCTCCACAAGCGGTGCCCCGGGTCATTACTGTACAAGTACAGTAATCCAGCCAGGCATGGTCATCCTAGCACTTACAAAGCTGAGACAGATGCATCATGCTCTCTAGGCCAGCCTGAACTCTAAAAAGAGTCTCAGTAATCCAAATAAGATTTAAATTTGGCTTGGCTGCATGTAGCAGAAAACGCAGTGGCTTAAGCATGAAAAGTTTTCTTGTAGATAATGATTCCGACTCATCATGACCGAGGTTTTTAAAAAAAAAAAAAGATTCCTGGATGCATTAAGTATGGTAGCACAGGCTTTATAACCCCAGGCACTTGGGAGGCGAAGGCAAGCGCATCAGGAGTTCAAGGCCAACCTCAGCTATGTAGTGAGTTTGAGACCTGGGCTGTATGAGAAAACAAAAAAGTCCTGTGAGCAGTTGGACTGCAGGTGATGCTAGCACAAATTGAGCAGAGTCCAGACTCTTGCCAGCCCACCACCCTGGCTGCTATCCTCTCCTCCACCAGCAGTAGAGGAAGATGCACACCTTCCCTCTAGGGATGCTCTCAAAGCCTCACAGTCCTTGTGCATATCCCCCAGTGGCCAGAGCCTTAGCCCATGGCCACACCTTGCTGTGGAATGCAGCCATGTGCCCAGTTCAGATTGGGGGTTTCTGGGATGTGGTAGAATGGTCATGTGTAAGACCCAGCACTGAGTGAGTGAGTGAGTGAGTGAGTGAGTGAGTGAGTGAGTGAGTGAGTGAGTGAGTGAGTGAGCGAGTGAATGGGGTTTGTTTTGTGGGGTTTTTTTGTTTCTTTTTTTTTATGTTTTGGTTTTGATTTAGTTTTTTTGAGATAAGGTCTCTGGTGGACTAGAACTCACAGAGATCCGCCTGCCTCTGCTGCAATTAAAGGCATGCCACCTAGCTATAGTCCTGAGGATGTCACACATACTTTGACATCCCCACTACACAGGTAATGTCAGGCCTAATGTTGTGTGGGCCCCTCACTTCAGGAAGGACTAGCCTTTGGGGCCTAGTACCAGGTTGAAAGAGTCAGGGCTCAGCTGACTGGGTCCCGGTGGAGAAAGTATCAAATGGGTTGATGAGGAAACCAGAGCCTATTGCCTGGTGTGAACCCCAGTTTTGCCTCTGAGGAGCCTTGTGACAAGCCATTAACCCCCTTGCCTCGGTTGCTCATCTGTAAAATCTATTGCTGCTCCTCAGAGTCCTGAGCAGTACATGAACTTACACTCATTCACAGTACTAGGAACTGTTGTAGGAGGCTGGGCATGGTGGTGTACACCTTTAATCCCAGCACTCATGAGGCAGAGGCAGGTGGATGTCTGTGAGTTTGAGGCCAGCCTGGTCTACATAGCAAGTTCCAGGCCAGCTGGGGCTATGAAGAGACCCTGTCTCAAAAGACCCACAACCAACAAAAAAACCACCTCTTGATAAGAAAGGGAGGGAAGGAGGGAGGGAAGGAGGGAGGGAGGGAGGAAGGAAGGAAGGAAAGAAGGAAAATTAGAATCATGAAGGAAGAGGCTGGAGAGATGACTCAGCAGTTAGGAGCACTTGCTGCTTTTTCAGAGGACCAGGTTTGGTTCCCAGCATCCACACAGGGGTTAACAGCCACCTGTATGCATGTGTATACATACATGCACTTGGGCACACTTACACATAAAATCTTTGGATTCCCCCAGAACAGCAGGCAGGTTTGCTCAGGGCTCTCATAATATGGGAGTGCATGTGGGAGAAGGAGGGAGGGTGCGGGCAGCCAAGCCACCTCCTCAGTCTAGCCTGGTTTTCCAGGCACTCTGGGACCAGGATAACTGGGTCTGAGCCAGGAAGTTGTAGAGTACCCCAGGCCTCTCCCTGGAGACCCAGGTGCTGTCAGCGACCACAGTTTCGTCTATGGAGCTGCCCAATACCAGCCCCTCAGCATGAGCCCCAGAAAGCCCCCTCCCACCCACAAAGCCACTCTCCATCTGCTCCAGGCCCCAGGGAAGTATGAGCCATGTGCGTGAAGCTTAGAGAAGCTCATTGGTGGCAATGATCTCCACCCAGGCACCATCACCTAGGCAGCTGTTTCCTTCTTTGTAAAATTTGGAGCTTGGGGAGAAGGGGAGACAGTGAAGGCACCCCTGAGCAGGACAGGACCCCAGTGGAACGGAAGACAGGTGCTTTCAACAGATACAGATGAGCGTGCCAGTGTGATTATGCAGTCTCATTAAGTGAGAGGCTGAAGAATTCCTTCTTTCTTTTTTAGATAGAGTCTCGCTTTGTAGCCCCAGCTGTCCTGGAACTCACTGTGAGGACCAGGCTGGCCTGAAACTTACAGAAATCCCCTTGCCTCTGCCTCCTGAGTGCTAGGATCAAAAGGGTGCACTACCATACCCTGTGAATTGCTTTATTTTTAAGGGTTTTTTGTTTTGTTTTGTTTAGGGTTGTTTTTGGTGTGTGTGTGTGTGTGTGTGTGTGTGGTGTGTGCATGCATGTATATATAAATGTTTGCATGTATGTGGGTGCATAGACACACATGTGTATGTTGAGGCCAGAGGCTGATGTCATGTGTCTTCTCAGTCATCCTCCACTTTTTACTTACTGAGACAGGATTTCTCACTGAACCCAGAGCTCACTGATTTAGCCAGTCTAACAAGCCATCTTGCTCCAGGAACTCCCTGTCTCTGCCTTCAGCACTGGTATCACAGGTAGGCTACCACGCCCACCTGGCTTTTTTTGTGTGTGTTTGTTTGTTTGTTTGAGACAGGGTCTCCCTGTAGCCCCAGCTAACCTAGAACTCTGTGTAGACCAGGCTGGCCTTGAACTCACAAAGCTCCATCTGCCTCTGCCTCCCAAGTGCTGGGATTAAAGGCGTGTGCTACCAAGTCCAGCATATGAATGTTTTGCCTGCATGTATGTAAGTGCATCCATGCATGCAGTGTCTGTGGAGGCTGGAAGAGAGCATCAGAACCCCTGGAACTATTATGGATGGTTGTCAGCTGCCCTCTGGGTGCTAGAAACCAAACCTGGGTCCTCTGCAAGACCAGCCAGTGCTTTTGACTGTGGAGTCATCTCTCCAGTCCTCCCCACCTGCCTTTTTTTATGTGCATGCTGGAGATCCATAGATCTCCATGCATGAACAGCAAGCATATACTCCATTGAGCCTTCTCCCCAACCCCGTTAATCTTTTGTTGTTGTTTTTTTTTAAAAAAAAAAAAACAAAAAAAAACAGGATCTTACCAGGCTTGGTGGTGCATACTTTTAGTCCCAGCACTCGAGAAACAGAAACAGGCGGATCTCTGTGAGAGCGAGACCAGCCTGGTCTACTTAGGGAATTCCAAGCCTGCTGGGGCTACAGGAAAACCCTGTCTCAAAAGGCCAAAACTACTAATTTATTTCATGGGCTCTTGTTACGTGGTCGACACTTAGGGTCTTCCTGCCTTGGCTTCCAGTTTGGCTTTTTTTTTCTGAGCAGTCATAATAACTGAAAAGATGGACAGCAACATGCCTCCTCCTTAAAGCACTACTAGCATGTCTGAAGCCCTGAGTTCAAAATAAGAGTGTGAGCAGTCCAGGTGCCTAAGAGCAATCCTGACAGCCTGAGCTCCATCCCCAGATCCCACAAGGTGGCAGGAAAGCAGTCCTCCATGTTCCACATGCATGCCGCAGCATGCCAGTACCCACAGTTAAATCAACATATGTTAAAAAAAATTTAGGAAGGAAGGAAGGAAGGAAGGAAGGGAGGGAGGGAGGGAGGGAGGGAGGAAAGAAAGAAAGAAAGAAAGAAAGAAAGAAAGAAAGAAAGAAAGAAAGAAAGAAGAAAGAAAGAAAGAAAGAAAGAGTCTGGAGAAATGGCCCAGTGTTTAAGAGCACTTGTCGCTCTTGCTGAGAACCCAAGTTAGGTTCCCAGCACCCAGACTAGATAGCTCACAACCACCTGTAACTCCACCTTCAGGGGGTCTGACACTCTACTCTGGCTTCTGCAGGCACCAGCACATACGTGGCATACACTCATACAGACATGTGTGCATATAAAAAAATGTTTTTTAGGCCAGGCGTGGTGGCGTACACCTTTAACCCCCACCTTTAATTGGGAGGCAGAGGCAGGCAGATCTCTGTGAGTTCAAGGCCAATCTGGTCTACATAGTGAGTTCCAGGCCAGCTGCGGCTACGGGGAGACCCTGTCTCAAAAAAGAAAGAAAAGCAAAATGTTTTTTAATTTTAAAAGAGAAAAGGAAGAAATCATTGGAACAATGCAGAGATCACTTAAGGAAGCTGGGCATGGTGGGGCATGTGGGGCATCACAGCACTGAGACAAAAGGATCAGGAGTTAATTCCAGCCTGAACTGCAGATTGAGTTCAGTACCAGCCTGGGCAACTTAGTGAGAGCCTATCTCAAAATAAAAAGTTTAAACAAGGCTGGAGAGATGGCTCAGGGGGTTAAGATCACTGGCTGCTCTTGCAGAAGACCTGGTTTTAGTTCCCAATACCCACATGGTGGCTAACAACCATTTGTAACTCCAGTTCCAGGGGACCTGACACCCTCTTCTGACCTCAGGCATTGCACATATTTGGTGTGTGTATATATATATGTATGTATGTAAATACATGCAGGCAAAACACTCATACACATAAAATATAAATAAGTAAATTTAAGTTAAACAAAATTAGAATATAACTCAGTAGTAGAGCACCCACCTAGCTTAAGAGCAAAAAGGTTCAATCCCCAGCACCATAGAACGGGGCGGGAGGGGCAGCATGAACAGAAAACGGGTAAAGGCAGGCTGGCAAAGGCCTGTTATCCCAGCTATTTGATACTAGAGCCATGAGGATCACAAGGCGTGGTGGCTCATTCCTTTAATCCCTGCACTTAAGAGGCCAGTGGTTCTCTGTGAAATGGAGGCCAGCCTGGTCTACATAGGGAGTTCCAAGACAGCTGGAGCTACAGGGAGACCCTGTCACAAAACAAAAACAAAAAAACAAAATCAGGAAAAGGGCTGGGGCTGTTGCCCACTGGGAGAGCACTCACCCAGCATGTGTGAGGCCCTGGTTTCCATCCCCAGCACCATACACAAAAAGAAAACCGAAGAAATCAGGAGAAGCCCATACTCTGCAATCACTGGTTTTGGTGGTGGTAGTGGTAATTATTGTATGGGTCTTTTTCTTTTATTAAGACAGAGCTTATAAGCCGGGAGTAGTGGCGCACACCTTTAATCCTAGCACTAGGGAGGCAAAGGCAGGCAGATCCCCGTGAGTTCAAGGCCAGCTGGGGCTACCTAGTGAGTTCCAGGACAGCTAAAGGGAGACCCTGTCTCAAAAAAAAAAAAAAAAGACAGTGTCTATGTAGCCCAAACTATTCTCAAACTCAAAATCCTCCTGCCTCAGCCTCCCATGAATTACAAGCATGTATCATGCTCAGCCCCACATTGTACACTTTAAACATGAAGATCAGTGTTTACTGTTTAAGTCACATAAGTTACTCTTGTGTGTGGTGTTAGGGATGGGATATAGGGATTCCAGGTAAGACACCCCAGCCCTCCAACAGTGTACTTCTTATTATCTTTTTATTTTTTGAGACAGGCTGTTAACTGCCTACAGCCCAGGTTGGCCTTGAACCTGTGGCCATCGCCCTGTCTCAGCCTCCCAGTTGCTGGGATCACAGGGCTGCATCACCGTTCTCAGCTCCTCTTCCTTTCCATTCAGCCTGTACCCGCAGTTGGATCTTCAAGGCTTGGTCAGCAGCAGGCTGTAATGATTCTGCATTCCCATTTTATTTGGCTGGGATTTTTGGCAAGAATCCATCCTGATGCCTGTGTGACCTATCCAAAGTATGATGGAGCCAGGCACGCTAACCTCTAAGTCCAACACTCAGGAGACTGAGACAGGAGGATTATGATGAGTGTGAGGTCAACCCAAGTTATAGAGTGACACAGCCTGCCTCAGAAAAGAAACAAAGGAAACAGCATTGTGACTATTGCCTGTATCTCAGCACCCAAGGCTAAGGCAGGAGGATCACTGTGAGTTCAACACCAGCCTGGGCTACAAAGTGAGACCCTGCCTCAGAGAGGGGGAATGTGGAGGGAATGAGATGGAGATTTAGGAGGTGTCAGTCAGGAAGAAGCTGAGATCCTGCCTACCCACCCAGAAGAACTCAGTCGTCACCTCTCTCTCCCTGGCAGTGCAAAGAGCTGTCTCGCTTTTCTCTCTGAATGACCCAGCCTTGAGCCCAGACACCCCTCCTGCGCATAGTCCTGTCCACAGCCACCTGAGCCTGGAGCGGGGGCCCCAGACCCCCAGAACCACGCCCACCATGAGGTGAGTTTCCCTGGGGAATACTCAGGCTATGACTCCAGGGCCTGTCAGGCAGCACAACTACATAAAGAGAGAGCGGGTGGGGGCTGCAGGCCTCCCCTTTGCTCTCAGGGCAGGAGCCCCCCTCACCTGGTGACTAGATTTGTTATGGTATGCCACTCATGCCCTGGGGACCAGCAGTGGCCAGACAGACTCTGAGCAGCCCTGCCTTCACAGATGGCCCAGGACATTGTGACAACAGAGCATCCATCCCCATCCTTCCAACTTTGAACCCCGAGCATCTGGCAGCCTCCCAACCCTCGGCCTCCATCTCCATCTGTCATTTGATCCCCTCCTTGCTAGGTCGCCTGGTGATGGAGACTTGCTCCTTTCACATCACTTTTCATAGTGTCTACACTACCAGCCTAGACAGGCCATCTTAGGACCCCACGCAGACTGAAACCAAGCCTCACCCTCTGGAGGCTTCATGAGGAGGGAGGAGGACAGGGAGACACGTTCACTTTGGCATCTCACTCCTGGCTCTTCCAACTGCGTGTGGCAAGTTTGAGTGCTTGTACTCAACAGAAAGCCAAGGAGAGGCAGGGGCCGTATAAAGGGCCATGCTGCCTACGAGGAATTGAACAGTGTGCTTACAATCCTGCCAAGCCTCCCCACAGGGTCTTGCCTGCCACACCTGCACAGTACTTAGTGGTTTGTGGAAACCTTTTTCAAGGACGATTTTAATTTTGTTTTCCTTTACACCTTAGTTGGTCTTAGATCTCAACTTCCACCAAAAGTGTGGGCCCCTGTAGTTATAGAAAATGGGTATGGGGCTGACATTGGCTGCTCTTGCAGAAGACCCAGGTTTGAATCCCAGTACCCACATGGTGGCTAACAACTGTCTATAACTCCACCATCATTAATAATGCTGTTGTCCATTGACATGGGCTTTCTGGGTGTAGGGTGGGCATGCAATGATCTGTATCCTATGAATAGGCAGAGGTTCCTAAGATCACACAGGCCCCTTCCTGGGGGCAATACTTCAGAGTGGGCCCCACCCAACCTTGGCCAGGCCTGGTGCTCCCTGGACCCCATCCACATCCACAGGTGACCTGTCTGAGGAAGGCGGGACGGCTCCCTACTGGGTTCTCCACAGAGCTGCTCCTCTGTGTCAGGCACCCTCTGGGCTTTCAGAAAGGAGAAGACTCACCAGAGACCAGAGGGCCAGCATCCTGTGTCCCTCACAGCTATGGCCAAGAGCCTTCCCAAGAGATTAGTAGGCCTCAGGCTTGACCCCATTCTCTGTCTCTCCAGTGAGGAGCCGCCGCTGGACCTGACAGGCAAGGTGTACCAACTGGAGGTGATGCTGAAACAGCTGCACACAGACCTGCAGAAGGTGAGGCCTTTGGCGTGACTTCCACCCGTGCCCCACATGGGTGGCGCCTGTCCCCACCCTGCTCCTTCTGCTCAGTAAACTGCTCATCAGTAGATTAAAAAATAGCAAGCACAGAGAGACTCTTGGGATGTAGCTCAATTTGTAGAGTGCCACCTAGCATGCTCAAGGCCCCAGCTTCCATCCCCAGCATCGCATAAACTGGGCATAGGGGCAGAAGTCTATAACCCAGGATTCAGGAAAATCAGAAGTCCATGGTACATAGTGAGCTTACAGCCAGCCTCAGATTCAGGAGACCATGACTCAAACTAAGCATGGTGGCACATGCCTTTAATCCCAGCATCAGGAAGCAAAGGCAGGCAGATCTCTGTGCATTCAAGGCCAGCCTGGTCTACATGGTGAGTTCCAGGCCAGCTGGAGCTACACAGATATCCCGTCTCAAAAAAAAAAAAATTAAATAAATAAGGCTGGATGTGATGGTGCACAGCTCTAATCCCAGCACTGGAGAGGCAGAGGCAGGCAGATCTCTGTGAGATTGAGGCCAGCCTGGTCTTGTATAGTAAGTTTCAGGCCAGCTGGGGCTACAGGTAGACCCTGTCTCAGAAAATACTGAATGAATAAATAAGATTAAAGATAAGGGGATCCAGATGCTGCCCATCAAAGGGAGAATGGCAATATTGTTGTACCTCATCCACTGGACCCCAAAAAGACCACCGAGGACCCAACACACCAAAATGCAAAAGCAAAGGTTTATGGTTTATTCGGGCTTAAGCTCGGGCTCTCAGACCTCACCAACTCAACAGATCCGTGCTGAGAGCCCAGAGTAAAGGAGAGTGGAGCCTTTTATAGGTTTTAGACAAAGGGGAGGAGATATACCAAAGATACATTTTGGTTGGTTCAAGGAGCCTGCGCGCGCCAACATAATTTTAAACTGATTGGATGTATAAGATGCAGCCCTGGAAGTTTCTTATTGGTAGGTGCTATTCTCAGGGCTGTGGAATGTGCTGACTCCTGTGGGGCCAGGGGTCTCCATTTTTACCTTATAGGGCAGTTTTTATGCTCGGACTTGGTTAATATATAGTTTCCTGGAAGGAGGGGTATAGCAGGCAGGAGTCAGGGTTGACAGGGTGTGTTTAGGCATGTCTAAAGCAGCAGCCAAGCATTTTACAGAATCTAAAAGAGCAATTAGTGGGGTCTGGAGGGATTGGGGGGTAGCTGGTGAATGAAGAGGGTCTCAGGGTCCTACATTCCCCCCTTGTCTTGTAACTGGCGAACCCAATCATGGGTTCTGCTCAGCCAGCTCACAGGTATCTGGGGGATCATGCTAAGGGGCATATGGGGATTTATGTTACTTGCAGGAAAGGTGCCATCACCCGATAAGCAGTTCAATGTCAACAATAGACAGGTTAGCAGGATGGGTCTCGTCAGATGCGGAGCTTGAATGAATTTGAAGGGTGTGGGGATGCCTTCCAGGTGTCTCCCTTGTAATCTTCTGGGACTGCAAATGGGTCGGCAGGTTTTGCGTGGGAGTAGTGCCAAGCCACAACGTCGTCCACTTTGAGTACGGTAGGAGTCGTCAAGAGGATCACAAAGGGGCCCTTCGAGATTTTTCCGTTGGTGTCTGCGGATGAAGACCCAGTCACCCAGTTTAAACCTGTGGGGTTGTGGAGGGACAGCAGCTTCATATATGGCTCTGAGTTGCGGCCTCTTTTAGAGTTTTATTCATTCTTTCTACCGGTCCTGAACTCTGGGGTCTCTAAGCACAATGTAGTTTCCAATTGGCCCCCAGTGCAGTGGCTATTCCCTGGCTTACCTGAGAGACAAAGGCTGGCCCATTATCTGATCCGATTGTAGTTGGGAAACCATACCTGGGCAGGATCTCTTCGATTAGCTTCTTGGCTATCACATGAGCAGTCTCATGCTTGGTTGGGTAGGCCTCAGTCCATCCAGAAAAGGTGTCTATGAATACTAGTAAATATTTATATCCAATTTTCCCTGTTTGATCTCAGTGAAATCAGTCTCCCAATATGTACCCGGTCGTGTCCCTCTGCTCCGGGATCCTGGGTTAGCATGGGACCGAGCTGAGTTAGTTAATTGGCAGGCATGACAATGCCTAAAAGTTTTTTTAATGGCTTGATTTCCTTCCTGAATTTTAACTTTGGCCCTTCTTAGTAAGTCTTGCATCCTTTAGGTGCCCATGTGTGATGCTTGATGTATTTTCTTGAGCAATCTTATGCCTAAATTCTGAGGTAGGATAACTTTTCCATCCATTGTCCTCCACCAGCCCTCTAGGCATTGAGTCATAGGGAGAGTGTGTATCCAGGCTAAGTCCTCAGGGCTATAGTGGGGAGTTTTAGGCAGTTCCCTTGCTCCGGGACCAACAAGAATGGGCAGGATCGTGGAGGTCAGGGATATTTCTTTAGCTGTCGTGTCAGCCAGATTATTTCCCTTCTGGGTGGGGTTGTTTCCTTTTTGGTGACCCCGGCAGTGGATTATGGCTAGTTTTGTTGGTTAAGAGAGCTTGCAGGGGGTCTAAGATCTCTTGTTTATTTTTAATAGTCTTTCCCTCTGCAGTAAGGAGGCCCCTCTTTTGATAGATGGCCCCATGAATATGGGCAGTGGCAAATGCATATCTGCTATCTGTGTAGAGGTTGAATCTCTTTCCTTTACTCATCTTTAGGGCTTTGGTAAGCGCAATCAGTTCAGCTTTTTGGGCCGATGTACCTATTGGCAGTGGCTTGGCCCAAATGATCTCGAGGTGGTTGTGACCGCTCCCCCAGCATGCCTTTTACCATTTCTGATGAAGCTGCTTCCATCTGTGTACCAGGTTTCTTCGGCGTCAGGCAAGGGAACATCCTTCAGGTCAGGTCTGATGCAATGCACCTGTGCCACAATTTCAGTACAGTCGTGGAGTGGGTCCCTGAGATCGGGATCTGGCAACAGCGTGACTGGGTTCAGGGCTGTTGGTACCTGGAAGGTGATCCTGGGCGGATTTAGGAGCAGAGCCTGATAATGAGTTAGTCAGGCATTGCTCAACCATCGATGGAGGGGGCTTGCTTGAGCACCCCCTTGAGGGCATGAGGGGTTGCCACAAGCAGGTCCTGTCCCAGGGTTAACTTGTTAGCATCCTTAACCAGCAGGGCCACTGCTGCTATAATTAGCAGGCAGGGGGGCCATCCAGCTGCTACAGGGTCTAATTTCTTTGATAGGTATGCAATAGGTCTCTTCCAGGGCCCTACTCTCTGGGTGAGGACCCCTTTTGCAATATCTTTACGTTCATCCACATATAGACAGGTTTACTTATGTCTGGTAGTCCTAGGGCAGGGGCCTCTAAGCGCTTGCGTTTTAGGGTTTCAAAGGCCTCTTGCCTTTCCTGCATCCAGTTGAAGTCCTGTCCTTCTTCGGTAGCCTCATATAGGGGTTTTGCAATTTCAGCAAACCCCAAAATCCAGAGCCTCAGAACCCCACGGTACCCAGGAATTCCCTCACCTGTTTTCTGGAGGTCAGTGCAGGTATCTTTAGCACAGTCTCTTTGCGGGCCTTAGTCAACCACCACTGTCCCTCCTTGAGGATGTACCCTAGGTAAGTCACTTCTT